AATCCGGCAGGTTCTTCGGTTTCGCCACCCTGTGGATCCGGTCCACTAACAGCATGTCTGCCGGTATGTCGGGGGCATATGCTCTCATAAGGCCCCGTGCGTAGGCCTGTAGATCTTCAGGGAGGACAGACTCGGGAACACCGCGGAGCCGCAGGTTGTTCCTACGTGCCCTGTCTTCGTGGTCTGCCATGCGGTCCTCCATGAGTGCCACCTTCCGTTGGAGGTCTTGGAGGTGTTCCGAGGTCAGCGTTTGTGCGGCCTCTAGTTCTATGTGGCGTTTTTCCACCGCCGAGGTCCGGGACGAGAGGTCTCTTACCTCTCTTTTAATTTGATCGGCCGTCTGTTGCCAGGTCTGGATGAGTTTATCCGCCATTTGTTCCATTGCATGCTCAAAGTGGCTTCTAGTTAGATTTTCCGCAGTGTGGAGGTCTGTCAATGTCCCAGAGGGGGTGAGCGAGGCGGCTTCGTCTCGTTCCTCGTGTCCGGCTGCCTGTAGCGGGTCCGCCGTGAGGGAGGGTTTGTGACCGAAAAAATTCATTTTTTCTGCCTTCGAGGTATTTTTCTTTGTTTTAGATGCTGCCATTATGTTTTGGGAGAGGTAAGTAGGGTTTCAGCTCGGGTGCAGTTGTAACTTGTGGAGCCCTCGTGCCGGAGCAAATTTTCAGGCGTCCATCTTGCTCGGCGGTTAACCACGCCCCCCTGATTTTTTTTTTTAACCCCTGAGGGTTAATTCTTTTTTTTTTAACCCTCAGGGGTTAAATTAATTAAATTAATTAATTAAATTATTTTTAAATTATATATTTAGATAGCTGGGGTAGGTGGAAGTTAGTGGGGAATTGGGGGATTTGGCGTTAGGCTAACTAGGGGTTAACGTTAAAAAAGTTTTAAAAGAAACTTTAAAAAGTTAAAAATTAAGCTTAAAAAATGTTTTAATAACATTTAAGTAATAAAAACAAAAAAAACACACTTTACCTAGTCCAAATAAAAATTAACCCCTTCCCTGCCAGTCGATCACTGCCTACAGCGATCAAATAGAGATCACAGTATTATACTGTGATCTAATTTTTTTTAACCCCTGAGGATTAACTTTTATTTATTTTTTTAACCCTCAGGGGTTCAATTTATTTAATTAATTAATTTAAATATTTTATAACTATATATTTTGCTAGCTGGGGTGGGTGGGAGTTATGGGAAAATGGGGAATTTACTGTTAGTGCTGCGTACTGCTAGTTAGGGGTTAACAGTAAAAAAAATAGCTTAGAAAAATGTTAAATCTGTAAAAAAAGTTTTAAGAAAGTTTAGGAAAGTTTAAAAAAATTTATAAGCAAAACAAAAGTTTAAAAACTAGTTTTAAAAAGTAAAAAAAGTTTAAAAAAGTAAAAAAATACATTTAAAAACGCTCATTACCACTACACCTGGAACAAACTAGAGAAAAAATTATCCCACGCCAAGGTTCAAAATATGCCTTTTGAATTACCCCAGGGTGTATTCTTTAATAAATAGTATGTGTTTGTGGGGAAGTTTCAATAACCAACCGTCTAAACTATTCCAAATTGGAACATGGACACAGCGTAAAACTTCAAAGTTAGAAAAAAACTGAATGGCTGCGTCTCAAATGCGCCCCTTCAACATCCACATATACCTGGCAAAGGTACATACGGGGGTATTGCTGTACTCAGCCGACATAGCTGAGCAACATATGAAGTATTATACAGTCATAGTACACATAAGGTTTGCAAAATATGCTGCGCAAACTCACTTTGTATGTCAAAAAGGCAGAAAAAATGCTTATTACCACTACACTTGGTACAAGCTAGCGGAAAAATGATCCCACACTAAGGTTCAAAATATGCCTTTTGAAATACCCTGGGATGTCTTCTTTAAGAAATGGTATGGCTTTATGGGGAATTTGGATTATATAGCCTGGTAAAATACTCTAAAATGGGACATAGGCACAGCATAAAAATTCAAAGTTTGAAAAAAACTGGAATGGCTGTGTCCCAAATGTGCCCCTCCGATGTCCACACATACCTGGCAAAGGTACATACGGGGGTATTGCTGTACTCAGCCGACATAGCTGAGCAACATATGAAGTATTATACAGTCGTAGCACACATAAGGTTTGCAAAATATACTGTGCAAACTCACTTTGTATGTCAAAAAGGCAGAAAAAATGCTTATTACCACTACACTTGGTACAAGCTAGCGGAAAAATGATCCCACGCTGAGGTTCAAAATATGCCTTTTTGAAATACCCTGGGATGTCTTCTTTAAGAAATGGTATGGCTTTATGGGGAATTTGGATTATATAGCCTGGTAAAATACTCTAAAATGGGACATAGGCACAGCATAAAAATTCAAAGTTTGAAAAAAAACTGGAATGGCTGTGTCCCAAATGTGCCCCTCCGATGTCCACACATACCTGGCAAAGGTACATACGGGGGTATTGCTGTACTCAGCCGACATAGCTGAGCAACATATGAAGTATTATACAGTCGTAGCACACATAAGGTTTGCAAAATATACTGTGCAAACTCACTTTGTATGTCAAAAAGGCAGAAAAAACGCTTATTACCACTACATCTGGTACAAGCTAGCGGAAAAATGATCCCACGCTAAGGTTCAAACTATACCTTTTGAAACACCCTGGGGTGTCTACTTTAAGAAATGGTAGGCCTTTGTGGGGTAGATTGAATTTAAAACCCGCGAAGATGCTTGGAAATTGCACATAGGCCCAGCGTCAAAATTCAAAGTTTGGTAAAAACGGATATGGCTTGGTCTCCTATATGGCACTGTAGCTTCACAAAATAGTGACAAAGACATTCATTGGGGGTGTATTTTTACTCAAAAGACTTAGCTGAGCATAATTTGGGAGGTTTGAACTTAGTGGCACATATGAAATATACAAAACGCCCAGCAAAAATGCAATCCGTATGTAAAAAATGCACAAAATAATTTTTTACCACATACTTTGGCATATATTGGTGAAAAAATGGGGGTATGTTAAGGCACAATATGCACCTTATGAGATACCCTGGAGTGTCTACTTTTACAAATGGTAGGCCTTTGTGGGGGTTTTTTGAACAGTCAAACTGTTATAATACCCCAAATGGAAGCTAAGGCTCATTAAATCCATCTCTCAAAATTCTACTGTGAATACTGTAAAGGACAGGTCTCCTATATGGCACTGTAGCTTCACGAAATAGTGCCAAAGACATTCATATGGGGTGTCATTTTACTCAGAAGACTTAGCTGAGCATAATTTGGGGGGTTTGAACTTAGTGGCACATATGAAATATACAAAACGCCCAGCAAAAATGCAATCCGTATGTAAAAAATGCACAAAATTTTTTTTTACCACATACTTTGGCATATATTGGTGAAAAAATGGGGGCATGTTAAGGCACAATATGCACCTTATAAGATACCCTGGAGTGTCTACTTTTACAAATGGTAGGCCTTTGTGGGGGTTTTTTGAACAGTCAAACTGTTATAATACCCCAAATGGAAGCTAAGGCTCATTAAATCCATCTCTCAAAATTCTACTGTGAATACTGTAAAGGACAGGTCTCCTATATGGCACTGTAGCTTCACGAAATAGTGCCAAAGACATTCATATGGGGTGTCATTTTACTCAGAAGACTTAGCTGAGCATAATTTGGGGGGTTTGAACTTAGTGGCACATATGAAATATACAAAACGCCCAGCAAAAATGCAATCCGTATGTAAAAAATGCACAAAATTTTTTTTTTACCATATACTTTGGCATATATTGGTGAAAAAATGGGGGCATGTTAAGGCACAATATGCACCTTATAAGATACCCTGGAGTGTCTACTTTTACAAATGGTAGGCCTTTGTGGGGTTTTTTTGAACAGTCAAACTGTTATAATACCCCAAATGGAAGCTAAGGCTCATTAAATTCATCTCTCAAAATTCTACTGTGAATACTGAAAAGGACAGGTATCCTGTATGGCACTGTAACTTCACGAAATAGTGCAAAAGACATACAATGGGGGTGTCATTTTACTCAGCAGATATAACTGAACACAAAATAAAACTTTGTACAGGAATAGCACACACCAACTTTACAAAATATACACGAGAATTTCTCTGTTATAAGTTTGTGTGCCAAAAACCAAAAGAACACAATTTTACTCCAATATTTAGCAGAGGTTGGCGGTGAAATGGCTACGTAGAAAGTGTCAAAACAACCTTAGGTAAATAGCCCGTGATGTCTACTTTATATAAATATATACTTTTGTGTGGCAATTTTGTTTTCTTTTATGGCTATTAAGCTTACAAGACAAACATACCAAATTCTAAAATCGCTCCACATTAAAAGTTTATTTTACTCCTTGTGCTTTGTGACCTGTAACTACCAAAAAAAACTTAAAATCCCAGACACATTATATATTCTGTAAATCAGAACAAATAAATAAATTTATTTTTAATTACTTTCCTTAACCTGCACTAATTATGCACACATTATTATTGCAAAAACTGTAAAAAAAAACAATATTTTTCATTTTTTTTGCATTTTTCTGTATTTTTTTTATAATAAGTAAGCATTTATATATATATATGTTATATCAAATTAAAGCCCTTTCTGTCCTTTAAAAAACAGTATATAATATGTGTCGGTGCAATAAATGAGAGAGATGCAAATTGCAGTTGAACGCAAACAGCAAGAAAATGCAAAAATTGCTTGTGTCATTAAGCGTAAGTCAAGCTTCTGAAGCTGTGTCCTTAAGGGGTTAATTAAGATTTTCTTATCCCCTGCTATGTTAATAGCTTGCTAGATCCTGCAAGAGCCTCCTGTATGTGATTAAAGTTCAATTTAGAGATTGAGATACAATTAATTAATGTAAATTACATCTGTTTGAAAGTGAAAAAAGTTTTTTATTTTCATGCAGGCTCTGTCAATCATAGCCAGGGGAGGTGTGGCTATGGCTGCATAAACAGAAACAAAGTGATTTAACTCCTAAATGACAGTGAATTGAGCAGTGAAATTGCAGGGGAATGATCTATACACTAAAACTGCTTTATTTAGCTAAAGTAATTTAGGTGACTATAGTGTGACTTTAAAAAAAAAAAAGTGCATTTTTTTCTCAGGAGCTGACTTAATTTTTTTCTGTACCCCCAGATCTTTATGTTCCAGTTACTTCGTGGTCTGTCTTACTGTCATCGCAAGAAGATTCTGCACAGAGACCTTAAACCACAAAACCTCCTAATTAACGAAAAAGGAGAGCTGAAGCTGGCAGATTTTGGTGTGTATATTCTTGCTCTTTTTTGAGCACAAAACTCAGAGATCTGTGTGGATGGCCCTGCTCAAAAAGAGCATGCAATATATAAGTAGATAATACAGTACAATATACACACTACTCAAGATAATAACTGTAGTGAGATGTATACAGATACTTAACTTAATTATTACAGCCTCCCAAGATCGTTACCCAGAGAAAACGACCTATTAACATAGATAACCACAAGCAACACAGAACTTCGGGATACGGCTGGACAGTTAATCTAAAAGAAACACAAAAAATATACACAAAATAGTGAAGTACAATTAACACATGGTTTTCCGCTGAATACAAATGCACTCACAGAATGAAGTAGAATATATCGCTCATAGGGTGCCTCCCCTAGTGGAATGGGGGGTTGGTAATCCCTTGGCTCCTTCTTAGGCTTCCTTAATGATGCTCAGGACTCCAAACAGGTAATGGTAGAAAAAAGATGTATTTATTGATAAAAGGTGAGTATTCACCATCAGTATAAGGTATAATAAAAAACGGTATGGTCCTACGCGTTTCGTTCTGCAAAGAACTTCATCAGGGACCGTATATAAAGAATAAAATCAATATACAATTACAGTATATAAAAAAACATCCTATTCCCCCCATCCCTGTGTCCTCTTTAAATAGGGTTAATCCCCATGTTCATTGGTGGTTCCGTGGGTGGTATCCAGTATCTGCTATTCAATTGGTTCTGGGAAGGAGCTGTTCAGCTGTTTTTCATCCTCCCTGTGTTACTGTAATCAATTTTGGCGCGTTCGGGCGACCGGAACCGGAAGTGGGAAATGAATCGCACTTCCGCGTTCCACTTGCGTTCCACATGCGTTCCACCCGCGGCTGAAATGCGTTCCACCTTCATTGTGCCTCAATGTAAATATATGATCAGGAAAAAAACAATAAAAATACAATATATTCTATCTGCTGAAGAAAAAAGCAATATTAGTAACCTTATTTACTTAATATAATCAATCACCATTAGGTTATTATAATTAAACCGTATCACACTGTATTTCTTAAAGTGAAAGGTGCATTCAAAGTGCACAATATATATAATACATGTACTCCTATTATCAACAAAAACATTATATTTCAAGTGTACCATGCATGATTAAACTATATGATATATATCAATATCCATTAATTATTAGTAAATGGTTCATACCATAAGAATTTTTTAAAGAATAACATAACATAAAAAAATATATATAGAAATTATAATTAAAAAAAGCTAAATTTTATAGTGTTCCTATAGAAAATCTCCAATATTAAGTGGAGTTACACATATATCTAATATCCCAAGTGGTTGTGTTTTGCCCATTGATTAATAAATGTATACAGGACAATTTAGCCATATATTTACTTTTATATAACCCATATGGAGGAGGAAAGGTTGTATTTTAGTCAGAATCAACATCATTCATAGAATAATGATGTATAAGGAAATGAATGTATGTATAAATAAAAATCAATTTTGGATTCTAATCCAAAAAACAAACTAAATCAATACCAATATTGAGGCCCCTCGGTTCTAGAGTATTTAACCGGTGTATCCAGAAAGTCTCCCTTTGGGATAGTTTCTGGATTCTATCACCCCTTCGCCAGAATGGAAAAACTCTTTCAATGCCCATAAAGATAAAATCCCGAAAAGTAAATAATGGGCAATTAGAACAATGGGCCGAAACTGAATGAGTTTGGAGTTTCTTCTTGATGTTATTCAGATGTTCAAGTATTCTGACCTTTAGAATCCTCTTTGTACGCCCCACATATTGTTTGCCACAGGGACACTGTAGTAAATAAACCACATAGTCCGAGTGGCAACTAATTTCAGATTTCACCTTGAATGTTTCCCCTGTGACGTTACTATGGAACAACTGTATTTTGGACAATGATGTAGTGATACAGGCCTTACAGATTCCACAGCCTCTAAAAAAACCACTAGTAGGAGAAGAATGGATATTAGGAGGTTTAATAGCGTAGCTAGGAGCCAGTAGGTTCTTAAGATTCTTATTCTTTTTATAGATCACCATAGGGCGATCCGATAAAGACTCTCCCAAAACTGGGTCCTGGAGTAGAATGGGCCAGAAATCCTGCAAACTTTTTTTGATTTTATGATGATCGGTATTGTATTGAGTTATAAAAGATGATTTAAAGTTTTTATTATTTTCATTTGTACTGCCCTTGTCTTCTAATAATGAACTACGTTGTACCGAGCTGATGGAACGGATTTCTTTGTCCAAAACATTTCTTTTATAACCTCTATCCATAAGCTTTTTCTTAATATATAGTGATTGGGTCCTAAAATCCTGAGGATTAGAGCAATTACGTCTGACACGTGTAAACTGACTTCTAGCTATGCCCCGTAACCACGGTTTGTGGTGACAGCTACGTTGGTGTACGTAGCCGTTACCATCTGTGGGTTTGAAGAAACATTTGGTCTGTATTTGTTCTTGATCACAGAAAAGGACCAGGTCCAAAAAATGAATTTCATATTTATTCCAGTATGGAATAAATATGAAATTCATTTTTTGGACCTGGTCCTTTTCTGTGATCAAGAACAAATACAGACCAAATGTTTCTTCAAACCCACAGATGGTAACGGCTACGTACACCAACGTAGCTGTCACCACAAACCGTGGTTACGGGGCATAGCTAGAAGTCAGTTTACACGTGTCAGACGTAATTGCTCTAATCCTCATGGTGCGTGGAGTAATCCTGTAAGGCACAGTATTGTGAAGCGATAGACAGGCAAGAGTAGAGGAAATATATTTTTATATCTATTCACTGAAAAGCAATTCTTTTAGAACAATGCATTAGTCCTTACATACAACACTCAGCCACTACACACACTCTCGTGCACATAGTCTTTTTTGGATCTGGCCTACACAGGCTATTTGTCTGACTTGTTGTTCATTCTCAATTTTCTCTTGTGCTTTGTTTTGATTTGTTAGCAAATGTCTTAGGTTCCCCACTAGATGATAGGATAATGCAGACATGGACCCCATGCTCACAATGCCTAAAGAGGTGTCGGCTACAGTACACTGACAAGGGTCGGTGATGAGTCAAATGATTGTCTGTGGTTGCTGAATTTCTCATGCAGAGGGACCTAGCCATGATTTCAGATCTGGACTGCTATTTAGAGTGGGATTAATCTGATATCAAATGGTTCAGCGTCTCTCTGTAATGGCAGTTGAGCAAAACATTAGTTTGAGAATGAAGCAGGATCCCAGTAAAGCGAAAACTAATTGAGTAGTCGTTGCACTCTTTTTTGGTTTGCTTTTTCATAAATACATTACTATATCAGAATAAAATCTATTTTGCGTGCTCTAGACCTATTTCAATATGCAGTTAACCTGCCATACTGTTTGGAATGGCCCAAAGTGAAAACAATTTAAGAGATTTGTGCTTCATTTTAGGTAAATAACCATTGTTAACATTAAGTAAGAAGTAGTGCTTATTGACATTACACACACATTAACCATAACATGCTAATACTGTTAATGGTAAAACAGCTATGGATCAATGCAATCAGTATGACTATATTTCCAAAGTAGCGTTTATTATTTAGCTTTTGTTGTTTTTTCAACTTGCTTTCAAAAACCATAGTTTTCATGCTGTTTTAACTTAAGAAAGCTACTCTTTCAGCTCCATCGCAGTGCCCTCCTGTGTTGGCAATCAACCGTGCAGCCCACAGCCCCTCCACTATCCAAAGTCCTCCCACCAGGCACTGGAGAATTCACTATCAAAGAAAGGTTAACAACAGTGGCATGAGAGAAAATAGGAGAAAAACATACAGCCTGTGGGAAGTACTGACGCTGGCGGATGCAGTGAGGGCTGCTTGATTGAGTAAAGAATGGATTTACAAATGGGCACATGCTGATTGCATTGATCCAGCACTGTTTTATGTCAATAGTAAAGAGTGTGGGTAAATTAGTAAGTTCACATCATCTGAACTCTGTAAATTTTCTATCTAATAAATATGGCAACCTTATTTATAGGAAGCAATGGGTTTACAAGACAATGCTTAATGAGATAATGCCCTTTCTAGAAAATCTTGTATATCTTACTTTTTATACATAGTTACATAGCTGAAAAGAGACTTGTGTCCATCAAGTTCAGCCTTGCTCACATATGTTGTTGCTGTTGATCCAAAAGAAGGCAAAAAACCTAGTCTAAAGCGCTTCCAATTTTGCCACAAACTAGGAAAAAATTCCTTCTTGACCCTAAAATAGCAGTCAGATGTCTCCCTGGATCAAGCAGCTATTACCCCACTAATTAGAAATTATATGCCTGTATGTTATGTTTTTGTAAGTATTTATCCAATTGCAGTTTAAACATCTGTAGTGACTCCATATCTTTATTGCTCTTACTGTAAAAAAAACTCTTCTTTGCCTTAGATGAAATCTCCTTTCTTCCAGCCTAAATGTGTGACCTCGTGTCCTATGTATAGCCCTGTTTATGAATAGATTTCCAGATAAAGGTTTGTACTGGCCACGAATATATTTGTATAAAGTTATCACATCCCCTCTCAGGCGCCGTTTTTCCAAACTAAACAGATTTCATTTTTTTAACCTTTCTTCATAACTAAAATGCTCCATTCCTTTTATCAATTTTGTAGCTCGTCTCTGGACTTTTTCTAGTGCCATGATATATTTCTTTAGAACAGGCTCCCAAAATTGCACAGCATATTCAAGGTGTGGTCTTACCAGCGATTTATAAAGAGGCAAAATTATATTTTCATCCCGAGAATTTATGCCCCTATTTATACATGACAAAACCTTACTGGCCTTAGCAACTGCAGATTGACATTGCATATTGCTGTCTAATTTGTTGTCTATAACAATTCCCAAATCCTTCTCGTGTGTGGTTATCCCTAATTCACTACCATTTAGTGTGTAAGTTGCTTGTGCATTCTTAATCCCGAAATGCATAACTTTGCATTTCTCTACGTTAAATTTAATATGCCATTTTAGTGCCCAGTCCCCCAAATCCAAATCTCTCTGTAGCAAAGAAATATCCTGCTCACAGTTTATTACTTTACAAAGTTTCGTGTCATCTGCAAACACTGATACATGGCTTTCAATGCCTATTTCAAGATCATTTATAAATATGTTAAATAGAAGTGGTCCCAAAACAGAACCCTGAGGGACACCATTTACCACTTTTGTCCAGCCTGAAAATTTACCATTACTTACAACTCGTTGTACTCTATCCTTAAGCCAGTGTTCTACCCAAGAACAAGAATATTCATCTAGACCAATTTTTTTTAGTTTGAAGACTAACCTATTGTGAGGAACCGTAACAAATGCCTTGGCAAAATCCAAGTAGATCACATCCACTGCAACACCCTGATCTATACTTCTACTTCTTCGTAGAATGCAATTAGGTTAGTTTGACATGACCTATGTTTCATAAAACCATGCTGATTATTGCTAATAACAAAGCTCTTCCCAATGAATTCATGAATATTATCCCTTAATAGCCCTTCAAATATTTCCCCAGTTACAGAAGTTAAGCTCACAAGTCTATAATTTCCAGGCAAGGATTTTGAACCCTTTTTAAATATAGGAACAACATCTGCCTTCCTCCAATCCTCCGGTACAACACCTGAAACAAAAGAATCTTGAAAAATTAAATAGAGGTTCACTTATTTCCCCACTTAGCTCCTTAAGTACTCGTGGGTGAATACCGTCAGGCCACAGAACTTTATTTACCTTAATTTTCTTTAAAGCTGTAGCACCTTGTCTCGAGTTATCCAATCACAAGTTATTTGCAAGTTTTTTGCAACAATCATTTGCATATCTCTTGCCATAGGATCCTCATTAATATATACTGAAGAAAATAGTTATTTAAAATTTCTGCTTTTTCCTGGTCTTCATTAGCTAATAAACCCAACTCTGTTTCCAGTGTACCTATACTTTCATTTTTTGTTTTTTTAGAATTGATGTACTTGAAAAAATGTTTGGGGTTGGTTTTGCATTCTTTAGCTATCAATTTCTCATTTTCTAGTTTAGCCACTTTAATTGCCTTTTTGCGTTATTGGCTTCCTTATATCTTAAATAGGATGCCTCTGATTTGTCCGATTTAATGCTTTAAATGCCCTTTTCTTATTTTTAATCTCTTGTTTTACTTTTCTACTAAGCCACATTGGTTTTTAATTTGTTTCTTTTATATTTATTACCCAATGGTACATACTGAGAAATGTACCTTTCTAATATTTGTTTGAATAGTTTCCATTTATCCTCAGTGTTTTTATCACTAAGGAGTTTATGCCAGTCGATATGTTGTAGAGCTGCCCTAATCTTATTGAAATTGGCTTTTTTTAAATTATATGTTTTAGTATACCCCACTTGCTTTTGATTTTTTGAGTTTATTTCAAAATTTACCATATTGTGATAACTATTTCCCAAATGCTCCTCTACTTGAATGTTGGTTAAAAGATCCACATTGTTTGTTATGACGAGATCCAGACAAGCATCCTTTCTAGTTGGTGCTTGTACCAGTTGTGACATGAAGGTGTCATTTAACACATTCAAAAACCTGATTCCCCTTGCTGAAGTACTAATCCCTCTATCCCAATTTATGTCTGGGTAATTAAAATCTCCAATAATTAACGTGTTACCTTGATTTGCAGCTTTCTCAATTTGCTCTAACAGCTGTTCTTCCTCAATAATATTTACATTAGGTGGTTTATAACATATCCCAACCAATAATTGATTTCCCTTTGTTTGCCCCAAGCAGATATCTACCCATAAAGCCTCCACATTTTCCTCGTCACACTCCACATGCCTAAGATTTGACTTTAACTCATGGTTGACATATAAACATACCCCACCACCCTTCTTATTTTTCCTATCCTTCCTAAATAACGTGTACCCATTTAAATTAACTGCCCAGTCATGTGTCTCATCCCACCATGTTTCTGTTATGCCTATTATATCATATTGTTTAGTGTATGCTATTGCCTCTAGTTCCCCATTTTGTTATATAGGCTCCTTGCATTAGTAAGCATACATTTAATATTATCATGAGTCTTTTGTACTTTTTGTGAATTATCAATATTACATACCTCCTCTGTTCTGAGCTTTCCCCTCCCCCTATCTCCACCCCCTTTGTTCTGAGCTAAAGCCCATCTCCTTTCCATCCTATCTCTATTTTCTAGATTGCTTTGACCCTCCCCCCCACCACAAGTTTAAAATCTCCTCCAACCTTCTAGCCATCCTATTCCCCAGCACAGCACACCCTCTTCCGTTTAGGTGCAATCCATCATGACTATACAAGCGCAAAATCGGCCCAGTGCTCTAAAAACCCCAAACCCTCTTTCCTGCACCAAGACTTTAGCCACGCATTGACCTCTCTAATCTCCCGCTGCCTTTCTGCTGTAGCGCACGGCACAGGTAATATTTTTGAAAAAATTACCTTGGAGGTCCTTTTCTTTAGCTTATAGTTTGATCAAAATGAGTGTTTGCATGTTTGTTGATAAAATGGTACCCAGGCCCCCTTCTACCATGCACATATTGCACATAGTTATATAGTTTCTAGGTTTGAAAGAGACTAAAGGCTCAAGTTTAACCATGAAGCCTAATTTTTATATTGTTTATTCAAAAGAAAGCAAATTAAAAACCATAAACATCTTACCACGTGTCCTCTACCTATTTCAGGCGCTCTCTCTTTGGATCCCTACAGTGTACTTCACATCCCTCCGATCGTTAATGATAAATTACATGTGGGGCTCCCAACGCCCTAAACAGCTATACCAGATATTGACGAAACCAAAAACGGAAGGGGGGTTGGCAGTTCCTGAGTTTCTCTTATACTACCATGCAACCCACCTGCAAAGGGTGATGGAATGGGCTAAGGACTGGGTGGCTAAGGGTAGACCATACACATGCGTCTTGCCTCAATGCCAGGTCCAAGTTCGTCACATGTTCAGAGGGCGTAACCTTAGGAAACTGGACCTTCTTACACAAACTCAAATATGAACAGTTGAGCAGGTTCCTCAAGCAGATCCCACAACAACCTGACTTACATAGGACACTGACCTCTTTTGAATGACAATGCACTGACCCTCGCCCTGACCCGCAGCCAAATGCTGTATCCTTATTGTATTCCTCACTTCATACACAATTGAACATCCGAGCTCCTGGTTACATGGGGAAGTGGGGGATCGCCCTGGGGGAAACCTTTACAGTAAACCAATGGGGGAAGATCTGTGATTTGGTACATCACTGCGTGCTAGCTAGCAAAACCCAAGAAACAGCATTTAAAGTCCTTACACTCTGGTACAGAATGCCTCACCTTCTCCAGAGCATTGATCCTGCTCTGGATGGGGACTGCTGGTGATGGCTGAACTGCACTAGACAACTTCCTGCACATCTGGTGGGACTGCCCTAAAATTAGGCCCTTCTGGTTGGTGATTAACACAATCCTACATAAATTCTCTGACAACCTCCCACCCTTCTAACCAGCCCATTTTCTTCTACATCACACCACCACCCCAACAGCTATATACAAAAAAATTAATGTCCATCCAAATCTTAAACTTAGCTAAACAAGTAGTCCCTCTCTACTGGAAAAAAGAGACACCCATTCCCAGTGGCGTACACATGACCCATGGGGCCCCGGTGCCAAAATTGATCTGTGGGCCCCCCCACGCTTACTCGGCGCGGTTCGGGGCTGCAACACATGGCGGCGGGCACCTGGTCGCAGGGGTTGCAGGGCTGCGACCCCGCGACCACGGTATGCACACACACTTAAAGGACCACTACAGACAACCAGATCACATCAGCTCAATGAAGTGGTCTGGGTGCCAGGTCCCTCTAGTTTTAACCCTGCAGCTGAAAACATAGCCGTTTCAGAGAAACGGCTATGTTTCACTGAGGTTAATCCAGCCTCTGGTGGCTGTCTCATTGACAGCTGCTAGAGGAGCTTCCGCGATTCTCACTGTGAAAATCACAGTGAGAAGACACTGAACGTCCATAGGAAAGCATTGAGTAATGCTTTCCTATGGGCGGTTTAAATGCGCGTGCGCCTCTTGCCGCGCATGTGCATTCGGAGCTGAGAGGCCAAGGGAGTCCGACCCTGGAGAAAGGTAAATGCTGAAGACACACACTCTCACGAACAGACGCATACACACTAGCTAACAGACACACATATTTACAGACAGAGACACACTCAGCGATAGACATACATACACACTCACTTACAAAACATACACTTTCACTGACAAACACACACTTACTAACAGACATCAAACACACTCAGTAACAGACACACACAGTAACACACTCACTAGCAGACACACACCCAATAACAGACACACTCACTGACACACACACTAACACAAACACTAACACACACACTATCACACACACACAAACACTAACACACACACACTAACACAAACACTAACACACACACAAACACACTAACACACACACAAACACACACACACACACACACACTAACAGACACACAAACACACACTCACACACACACTAACACACACTTTTTTTTAAATTTAATCCCCCCAGCCTCCTTACCTTTAGGGATGCCGGCGCCGGAAGATGACGTCATCTTCCGGCTCCGGTATCAGTGCGGTGCACGAGGGAGCTGTAGAGGAAGCACTCAGGGGAGAGTGCTCCCTCGCGCGCCGGCCACCCAGACAGCCAGCCCGCCGGGTGTCAGCAGGGCCAGCCTCGGGGGCCCTGAGGTGGCCGCCTCCTGGGCCCCCCAGGAGAAGAGGCTGGCCCTGTGGGTACATACCGGGTCGCAGGGGTGGCCGGGCCCCCTGGTGGGCTGGGCCCGGTCGCAGCCGCGACCCCTGCGACCCTGGTATGTATGCCACTGCCCCCTCCGCTGACATTGTGGTTCAATAGAATGGAAGTGCTGAGACAGCTCGAATAACTGACATTCATGGCCCAAGGACACACCCAGACTTATGCAGACATCTGGACTCATTGGCTGACAGTCGCATATCATGTATGTCCTGCTGACATACAGGACTGATGGCCCGGTGGGATGAGTGGTCAAGGGTTGAACAGGGAGGAACAGAGGAGGTCCTTTTATCCTAACATTCCAAATTCCAATTGGTGGGGTATCCAAGCCATGGGAGCAGCAAGGGAAGCCTCTAGTACAGGCTAACCTTGTGGTTAGGGAATTAGCTAGACAGACACACAAACAACCTGTTATAATCTGAGGGAATGGTTCACCGGAACGTAGATCACTCCTGAATATATAAGAACGTTTAACTTGTTTATTATGCTACGTAATTGGATTGTGGACGTCACAGTCCTTGTTTATCTCTGTTATTTGCTAACCCAGCCCTTCGTGGCTGTCAGACAACTGTAACTTGGGAAAAAATGGTCTAACTGTGAACTCTTGTATATTACGTGATTGTTTCTGCTTAATGAACAGTGACCAATAAAAAAAAAACAAAAAAAAAACAATTGTAGCCATTTCCAATTATGCCATAAAAAGGGAAAAAAATTCCTTCTTGATTCCATAATGGCAATTTAGATTTCCCTTTGGATCAACAACCAGTTTACATACATATCAGTTATATCTTTGAATATTCTGTTTATAAGAAAAAAGTATCCCAGCCTTTTTTTTTTAGAACTATCTATAGAATCTGATAAGACAACCTCTTTAGGCAGAGAATCTTTACACCTTTATTGTTCTTACGGTAAAGAGCCCTTTCCTTTGCCATAAGTGAAAACACCTTTCTTCCAGTCACAGTGGGTGACCTCTTGTGCGCTGTATATTCCTGCTAATAAACAGGTTAGCTCATAGCAGTTTGTATTGGTGTTGTATATATTTGTATAGTGCTATCATTTTTTCTAAAGAAAACAAATCCAGTCCTTTTAACCCCTTAAGGACACATGACATGTGTGACATGTCATGATTCCCTTTTATTCCAGAAGTTTGGTCCTTAAGGGGTTAAAGGATCACTATAGTGTCAGAAAAACAAAGTGGTTTTCCTGACACTATAGTGCCCTGAGGGTGCTCCCACCCTCAGAGTCCCCCTCCCGTGGCGCTGAAGGTGTTCTCTCCTCCCCGTCCGACGTCAGCTCCCTAGTGGAGCGTAATGCGCATGCGCGGCAAGTACCGCACGCGCATTCAAAGAGTCCATAGGAAAGCATTTCTCAATGCTTACCTATGGACGCTCTAAGCGATGGATGCGAAATTCGTATCCAGCGTCGCAAATTCGCCTCTAGTGGCTGTCCGGAATACAGCCACTAGAGCCTGGATTAACCCCATATGTAAACATAACAGTTTCTCTGAAACTGCTATGTTTGCATCTGAAGGGTTAAAACCTGAGGGACCTGGCACCCAGACCACTTCATTGAGCTGAAGTGGTCTGGGTGACTATAGTGTCCCTTTAACCTTTCCTAATAACTAATGTTGTCCATCCCCTTGCTAATTTTGCAGCTGCACTTTTTCTATTTCTACAATATCCTTCTTTAAAACAGGTGCCAAAATTGCACCGCATATTCATTGTGGGATCTTACCATTGATTTATGAAGGGGCAAAATTATATTTTGATCACGTAAATCAATACCCATTTATCTAAATTAAACACTGTATTCACTTAACAGCAGACCGGCATTGCATACTGTTGCATAGTTTGTGATCTGTAACTGTTCCCAAATCCTTTTCATTTAATGTTATCACTAACTCAATCCCATTTTATGCTGTTAAAGTGGTTTATCCACACTTATCCTTTATAAAAACCCAGACAAATATGTTACATGCTAAGTGGCAGATTATTATAGTGAAATGTTTACGTAATAGACTAAAAAAGTTGAGTTGACTATTCTATATTTTGCTAATGTTTTGCTAGATGTTAATTAAAACAAAATATGGAATGTGCATTTCTGTGTGTGTGAGTATGTATAGACATATGTAGAACATAAATATATGCTTTGATAAATCTCTGACTATTTGGAGAAATACCACGTTTCATGTTTTTCAGTTGTTTAACAATAAAGACAGCATGTCTGAAACATTACTGTAATTCATTTTTACAGGCCTTGCGAGAGCCAAGTCCGTGCCCACTAAAACATATTCCAATGAAGTGGTGACACTATGGTACAGACCCCCAGATGTCCTTTTGGGCTCTACAGAGTACAGTACACCCATAGACATGTGGTGAGTGAAGGGTGATAAAGGGAGACAAGTGATTTCTAAAATGTACAACTACTTGTGTCATTCAAGGAATTTACAATCTTATATTCGCTATCATATGACACACACGATGGCTACCAATGAGCTCTTAATTATGTCTGTTTGATTGCAATCTAACTATTTTCATACCATTTTTACCATTATCTGGTGAAAAAGGATTCTATCCCTTTCGTTAAAGGACCACTATAGTGCCAGGAAAACATACTCGTTTTCCTGGCACTATAGTGCCCTGAGGTGCCCCCACCCTCAGGGTCCCCCTCCTGCCCGGATCTGGAAAGGGGTTAAAACTTACCTTTTTCCAGCGCTGGGCGAGGAGCTCTCCTCCTCTCCGCCTCCGATCCTACCCGTCGGCTGAATGCGCACGCGCGGCAAGAGCTGCGCACGCATTCAGCCGGTCACATAGGAAAGCATTCATAATGCTTTCCTATGGACGCTTGCGTGCTCTCACTGTGAAAATCACAGTGAGAAGCACGCAAGCGCCTCTAGTGGCTGTCAATGAGACAGCCACTAGAGGAAATAGGGAAAGGCTTAACCCATTCATAAACATAGCAGTTTCTCTGAAACTGCTATGTTTATGAAAAAATGGGTTAACCCTAGCTGGACCTGGCACCCAGACCACTTCATTAAGCTGAAGTGGTCTGGGTGCCTAGAGTGGTCCTTTAAAGGCAAGTTTTGGTGATCACAACCTTGTTGCAGTTTAGTTATCAACACTTGTTGGGGACCATGAAACACTTTCAACAGTACAAATCACTTGAATATACATTTTCTAACAAATAACCATAACCCCAAATTATGTTATATTGTAAATAAAACACCTTCCCTGAACAGACAGCATTACCTTAATCCTTATTAACCAATTACACTAATTAAAAGGCAAAAAAGCTCTGTTACTAAAATCTAAAATAGAAAGATCAATAATATAAATGCACATGCACACAATATCTGAAAAGTTAATTTAGAGGTACCTTAAAGGACCACTAGTGCCAGGAAAACAAACGTGTTTTCCTGGCACTATAGTATTAATAGGTCATCGTGTGTCCCCCACCCTCAGGGTCCCCCTCCCGCCGGGCTGAAGTGGGAGGAAGGGGTTAAATCACTTACCTTTCTCCAGCGCCGGGCTCCCTCGGTGCTGGGGACTCTCCTCCTCCTTCGGACGTCATCTGCTGAAGGCGCATGCGCGGCAAGAGCGGTACCCAGACCACTTCATTGAGCTGAAGTGGTCTGGGTGCCTATAGTGGTCCTTTAATGAAATTCACACACTGTTCTGATTTAGCATGGAGCATAACACCTTAAATCAGAACTATCACATCTTTGAAAATCACCTCTAACTTGTGTTAATGTTTTTTTTAATGTAATTGGATCTTTTCTTTTAAATTATATAGAGATTTAGCAAATTATATGACAAATCCAATTCAGTGCAGACAAGGCACTCAATACAAATGATAAAAACAGAAACATAGTATTCATTTTTCCTCAACTCTTCCACTACTTATGTTCAATGGCAGTAAAGGGCAATCTTTCTAAGAAAGATCGATGGGGTGCACAGCTCTAAATGTGTAACAATAAAGATGTTACTTGAATGAAATTGTTGGAGAGGTTTTTTCCCACCATAACTTTATTCATGATTAACAAAAATATAAAAAGCAAAATAGGGTGCAGGGTGTGTAGCAGCATGCACTGTCTCTGATGGGCAGTATTTCACAAGAATTAAAAGTGCTATATTTTTATCAGTGTGATTTAGTCCTATTTATATTTTTAAACCCATAAAAACTTTATAGGTTTTCGATCAACTCCAAGCAGCAAAATCATTTATAGGAACCAATGGGTTTATGAGACTAAGAACGGAAAATGCTTAATAATCTGAAATAATGCCCTTTTTAGAGAATGTCATGGATCTTAATTTTTGTAGTTTGATCTTCAACACATTTTACGTGAAAATTAGTGTTTGCGTGTTTGTTGATAAAACAGTACCCATGCCCATGCCCTTTCTACCACGCAAATATCACACATAATTACATAGTTGTCTAGGTTTGAAAGAGACTTAAGTCCATTAAGTTCATCCATGAAGCCCAATTTTTATGTTGTTTATCCAAAAGAAAGTAAAGTTTAGAACTGTACAGGCATCAATCATAAATCTTTTGCGAAAATAAACTTTTACTGCAGTAAATTTAAGGGATTGGTATTTTACTCACCCTGGTGTGAATTAAAAGAGGCTTATTAAATTGTATCTATGCTTTTCATAGCAATACCATGAATATGGGTCTTTCTTACAGGGGAGTTGGCTGCATCTTGTATGAAATGGCTACGGGAAGGCCTATGTTTCCTGGTTCCACTGTAAAGGAAGAATTGCACTTAATTTTCAGGCTGCTAGGTAAGACTGCACTATTCTAATTTACCACTGGATGGTGCTAGAGCATGCAGTTTAACCATGGATGGCTTTAGAACATGTTTGATCTGAAATATTATATTGAGATTTCTCTTGTTATCAAGTATCAGAATAAAAAAATATATTATTAACATTATCAATGTAATAATGTATACTTTAACAAAAATGTATTTCTTTATTTTGAGTGTGCAGATGGGCTTACACAATTGAATAGAGATATTTGGTGCATAATAAAATGAGCGATTACAGACTGATAATTAGAGCACTGAACACTGAGCACTCCTAACAAGCTGCACATTTTTAAGGGGTAAAGTAATAATCAAGAAACACAGGCTAGTCATTAGTGATAATGCTCTAAGAAGATAGGTAAAAATGCTTAAAACTGGCTAAACGTAAGGTTAGCTAGACAAAAGACAAAGGCTATTGGTATTAAATTAAATGCTAATAATGAACATGCTAGACCACCGGGACTGCACTCAGTATCTTTTTGGTGTAGCTATATGAGTTTATACAAATAAAAGGAAAAACAGCAGGTCAACATAGACAGAGAATTATGACAGCTATGTAGAGAGCAGGCCTCAACTAGTCGCATGGTAGGTCAGACGAAGTACATGGCATCTGCTGTCACCATAGCCGTATCTGGTCCGGCTCCGTTCCGGCATTTCCAGTATGCGGAACCGGCTCCGCCCCCTTTCTGACGCGGCTCTCTCACGCTTTATAGAGAGACCGCGCCAGATTCAAGAGGCTTGGTGATTTCGGATGTTACTTCCGCATTCAACGCCGGCTATGCTTCTCTTCGTTCCTAACGTGTACCGAACCTTGGATTGTTGTAACACTTCCGCATTCAACCCCGGCTAAGCTTCTCTTCGTTCCTAACGTGTAACGGATTGTTGTAACGGACTTTTGCCTTCTCATTGCCCTCTGACCACGGACTGTATTGGATTTACCGGATCTCTACTTATTTCCTTGTCAAACATCCTTTGGACTCAATCTATTCAGTTCCATGGAGGACAACTCCCATAAATCTTAAGTATACAATTTACTTCTATCTCTGAAGGTTTACTTATTAATGAATTTTTACTTGCTTGTTATAACCTGCATTTACTAAAGCATTATTGCAATCATTAAAGCCTTTTCTTTTCCACTAATTGCCTGCAACCTCCACCTTGCTTTAAAGCTACAGTAACCTTATTAATTTAAAGGATTTCTCCTCTTTTTGCTATTGTAATTAAGGAGTTTTACATGCTACAGTTGAGTTCCAAATCCAAAACCTCTTGTGACATAACAGAATCACCAAGCCTTAAACATGAAACCAGCAGATGTGAATTCCCAAATGATCTATTTAACCCAAAGAGTAGACATGCTCACTCAAGGCATGCAGGATTTGCAAATTGCTAATGAGAGACTTTTTTCTTATATTAGAGAAATGCAAAACAAGGTCACTCATTCTTCAAGTGACCCTGCTGTCTGCAGCCCAGAGAAGTTTTTTGGAGATCGTTCCAAATATAGAGAATTTCGGAATTCTTGTAAATTATTTTTTACTCTTAAACCCAGGTCATACCTCACTGACAGAATTGAAGTCTGTTCAATAATATCCTTCCTAAGGGGAGAACCTATGTCCTGGGCACATTCCTTCCTGGAAAATGAGGATCCCAATATGGATTCATTAGATGATTTTATTGAGGCAATGTCACTTCTCTATGAGGACCCAAATAAACAAGCTACTGCTGATCTTACTATTAGATCTATACAGCAAAGAAATCGACCTGTAGAAGATTATATAGCTGAGTTCAAACGATGGGCTTTGGAAACCCAATGGAATGATATAGCTCTGCGCAATCAGTTCCGTCTAGGATTATCTGAAACAGTTAAAGATGAATTATCTAGAACCACTCTCCCTCCAACGCTTGATACATTAATTCAAATCTATATCAGTATAGACTGAAGAATCAGAGAACGTAAAGCAGAGAAAGCACTCACTAATTCACTTTGGAAAAAAACCCAGTCCTCCCATACGAATTCCTAATAAATCCCTGCAACCAACTGAACCTATGGAAATTGGGTTTACTAGGGGACCTCTGTGTATTGAAGAAAAAAACAAGAAGGAGAGAATTAAATCTCTACATGTATTATGCTTCGAATGAACATCTTTTACAAGAATGTCATCTATTAAAACGCTCTAAGGGAGGTAAGGCTAGAATTAATACCTCAATACTGAAAACCCTTCCCTCTTCCTCCTCTCATCAGTTTGCTGTATTTCTAATTTTACAGTGGGACAAAGAAAGAATCAAGACTGAGGCCATTATTGATTCTGGAGCTACGGGGGTGTTCATAGACTCTTCATTTGTGGAAAACAATAAAATTCATTGTGTGCAAAAAACATCTTTTGTCTCTATCAGAGTTATTGATGGTTCTTTAATACCCTCTGGTCCCATAAAAAATGAAACTATTCCTATTTTGACAACTATCAACCATAACCATTCAGAATTTCTCGTTTTTGATGTTGTGAAATCCCCCCTTTTTCCAATCATCGTGGGTATCAACTGGTTACAAACTCATGATCCCCTCATCCGTTGGGCTCCCTTCTCTCTCTCCTTTGAATCAGATTACTGTAAGGATAATTGTCTTCCACAGATTCCTATACTTCAATTAAGTCAAGAAAATTGAATACCTAAACAATATTCGGACTTCTCTGATGTTTTTAGTAAAAAAGAATCTGAATCCCTTCCTTCTCATAGGATATATGATTGTCCTATTGATCTCATTCCTGGTGCTCCCATCCCTTATGGTCACATATACCCTCTTTCTGAGAAGGAATTAGGAACCCTTAAGGAGTACCTTGAAGAAAACCTCCGTAAAGGATTCATACGTCCTTCTACCTCTCCTGCTGCTTCCGGGATCTTCATCGTAAGGAATAAAGATCAAACTATACGTCCTATAATTGACTACCGTCCATTAAATAAAATAACTGTTAAAAACCGTTACCCTCTACCTTTGATTCCTGAACTTATTGAAAGATTAAGAACGGCAACTATCTTCACCAAACTTGACCTCATAGGGGCTTACAACCTAATTAGGATAAAGGAAGATGATGAATGAAAAACGGCTTTCCGTACTAGATATGGCTTCTTTGAATATCTTGTAATGCCATTCGGACTCTGTAATGCTCCTGCTACTTTCCAACAGTTTATCAATTATATTTTCAGAGACCTCTTAGACACTTGTGTCATTATTTATCTAGATGATATTTTAATTTATTCTGATAACCTTAAAGATCATAGGAAGCATGTACGCTGTGTACTATCCCGTTTAAGAATTCACAAACTCTGTGCTAAACCAGAAAAATGTTTATTCGAAGTTAAAGAACTCAACTTTCTTGGCTATGTTATTTCACCTCATTCAATAAGAATGGATGATTCTAAAATAAAATGCATTCTTAATTGGCCAATTCCTTCCTCTACCAAAGATGTCCAAAGATTTCTTGGTTTTGCAAATTTTTATAGGAAGTTTATCAAAAATTTCTCTGAGATAGCTCATCCTCTCCATATCCTTGCTGGTAATAAATATCCCTTTTGTTGGAATAACCACACCCAAGATGCTTTTGATGCCTTAAAAGGTAGATTTACAACTGCTCCTATATTACATCTTCCAAATCCTTCATATTCTTATGTCCTAGAAGTAGACGCATCTGAAAATGCTATTGGAGCGTTTCTCTCTCAACAAAAGACTCCTCAAGATCCTCTCCATCCTGTTGCTTTTCTTTCAAGATCCTTGACCTCGGCCGAGAAGAACTATCCTATCGGAGAAAAAGAATTATTAGGCATAAAAGTAGCTTTTGAGAAGTGGCGTCATCTTCTAGAGAGAAATGAAATTCCTATCATTGTCTATACAGATCACAGGAATGTTGAATACCTCCATACCAACAAAACATTATCTTCCAGACAAATAAGATGGAATCTTTTTTTTGATCGTTTCAATTTTCAAATAGTCTATAGACCTGGATCTCGTAACAAAAAGGCTGATGCTCTTTCCAGAATCCCCTGTAATCCTTCCTCAGAAGAGAAAGCCTTCTCTATATTGTCAAACAATAAATTTATTGGACTTACATCTACCATATTGGACGAACTGAAACAATTATCTCTTGAAGAACTTGAATTACCCTCCACTCCTAAAGTATTCAAAAAGGATGGAATCTTTTATTTCAAAAATAGGATTTATATTCCTCCAAAACTGCAGAACAAACTTCTAAAATTAATTCATGATTCTCCACTTGCTGGACATCCCGGGATTAAAAAGACAATTGAACTCTCAACTAGACAATATTGGTGGCCTCGTCAAGATAAAACCATTGAAACTTATGTTAAGTCTTGCCCTGTTTGTCAAAGATCCAAAGCTGAACATCACCTTCCTTACGGATTATTGATGGGGTTACCAGTCCCTGTGAAACCTTGGCAATCTATTTCTATGGATTTCATGGTGGAACTCCCTCCTTCACAGAAATACACCACCATACTTGTCGTTGTAGACCGTTTCACGAAAATGTCACATTTCATTTCCTTAAAAAAGTTACCTACATCGTCCGAACTTTCCAAAGTCTTCATAGACAATATAATCAAATTACATGGATTCCCCGAAGAAATCATCTCAGACAGAGGTACCCGATTCACTTCGCGATTCTGGAAGGAACTTCTGCATACCATCCTCAAACCAATGGCCAAACAGAACGAGTCAATCAATGTCTGGAACAATACCTTCATTGTTATTGTACGCATTTACAAGATGATTGGATTAGTTGGTTACCTATGGCTGAATTTGCCTATAATAATTCCATACACTCAAGCAGCAAGATGACTCCATTCTTCTCAAATTATGGATTCCATCCCTCTCTGTTTCCCGATGACCCAAAGCAACTTCTAACCCGATGGTCTCTATTCAAAATACTGAAATGTCTTCATTGTTTAAACAATTAAAGAAAAACCTTGAAAGTTCTATGGTCTTGCATAAAAAGAATTATGATATTAAAAGGAGAGCTACTCCTAAATATAAAGTTGGTGATACTGTTTGGCTATCTTCAAGGAATATTTCTACAACCAGTCCTTCAAAGAAACTGAGTCCTCTCTTCCTTGGTCCTTTTCAAATTGAATCCGTTATTAACGAAAGCGCTATGAAGTTGAAACTCCCTCCTTCGCTTAAGCTTCATTCCATTTTCCATGTTTCCATTCTTAAGCCTTTTCTCCCTGATCCCTTCCATAGAGAACAACTGTCAAAACCTGACCCCATCATAGTTCAAGGTGAAAAGGAATATGAAATAGAAAAAATTCTTGACTCAAGACTTCATAGAGCTACCTTACAATATCTTATCAAATGGAAGAGTTATGGGATTGAAGACAAGACGTGGGAAGACTCTTCTGATGTACATGCAAAAAAGTAGATTTCTGCCTTTCACAAATGTTACCCCGATAAGCCAATGTAATAGCACCCTGAGTGTGCTCCTTAGGTGGGGGGTACTGTCAGGCCGTATCTGGTCCGGCTCCGTTACGGCATTTCCGGTATGCGGAACCGGCTCTGCCCCTTTTCTGACGCGGCTCTCTCACGCTTTATAGAGAGACCGCGCCAGATTCAAGAGGCCTGGTAATTTCGGATGTTACCTCCGCATTCAACGCCGGCTAAACTTCTCTTCGTACCTAACATGTACCGAACCTTGGATTGTTGTAACACTTCCGCATTCAACGCCGGCTAAGCTTCTCTTCGTTCCTAACGTGTACCGAACCTTGGATTGTTGTAACACTTCCGCATTCAACGCCTGCTAAGCTTCTCTTCGTTCCTAACGTGTACCGAACCTTGGATTGTTTTAACGGACTTTTGCCTTCTCATTGCCCTCTGACCACGGACCGTATTGGATTTACCGGATCTCTACTTATTTCCTTGAAACCGGACTGTTTATGTTAAACATCCTTTGGACTCAATCTATTCAGTTCCATGGAGGACAACTCCCGTCAATCTTAAGTATACAATTTACTTCTATCTCTGAAGGTTTACTTATTAATTAATTTTTACTTGCTTGCTATAACCTGCATTTACTAAAAAATTATTGCAATCATTAAAGCCTTTTCTTTTCCACTAATTGCCTGCAACCTCCACCTTGCTTTAAAGCTACAGTAACCTTATTAATTTAAAGGATTTCTCCTCTTTTTGCTATTGTAATTAAGGAGTTTTACAAGCTGCAGTTGAGTTCCAAATCCAAAACCTCTTGTGACATAACAATGTAGCTCTTAGGCAGCTTTTCCAGTGTCAGGATCAGACGATCCCTGTGAGTGGCATGGTTGGTGTGTAGACAGGAATGTCCATGTGTGTAAATGTGGAGCCGTGCCAGAGCTGGGCTCTTCTCCATCCCATGGAGTGTGTGTGAGCTTGCACTGTCGTTCCACAGTCTTGGGCTCTATTGAGGGCCAAGTCCATTCCACCTTGGGGACACTGCAATTCCCACCAATCTGGTAGCTCCAGACACAGTAATTCATGTCACTGAAGGCTTTGGGCAACTTTTGATGTTGTGGATACCCCCTCCATGGGTGAGAGATGAGCACCGGGGTAAATCCCCTCAAGGCCCTCAACCTGAGAGTGTGGTATTGGGCAGTTGATCGTCCGGAGCCTGTATGCGGACGGGAAGGTCGGGATCTCTGCTTTGGAGGCTTGTGTCTGGAGGTCTTCCATGAAGCCAGGCCTGGCTTGAGGCATGTTTTATCAGACGGTAAGTGTTGTGGCTCGTTTTCATGCTGTCCCCTCTCCTCAAGCTGCTTCTGACAGCTGTTTAGCTTTAGCCAGAAGTTTGAGAATATTTACTCTAGCCGTGCTATTGTTGTCACCATCATGCTTCCAGCAGGGGAGGTAAGATGTGCGTCCGCCATATTAGGACGCATTATAATATAGGCCCCGAGTTCCTCGGACGCCTGTGGGGACACGCTTCCACCAGTGGTTTAGCTAGTAGTTGGATCTCCCTCACTGGCAAGGTGGGCTTAGGGTGCCCAGTCGTGTCCACTTGCTCTGACAGTGGCAGCAACAGGGAGATCGGCCGCCTCTCCCCTGTCCACCTTCGCAGGTGGGCTGCAGTAGTTGCATCAGTTTTAGACCACCCCGTATTGTGACGGGAAGCTGTAAAAGTAGGCACAGTAGGTAGTTGGTCGTCCCCAGTATCACCAATGCTAATTTTCTCAAGAAGAAAGTCAGTATATTTAATGTTTTTTCTGTATTTAGATACAGAGCCGGGTGGCGGGGCCGGGCCGCTATGCTGACCGGTCGCATGCAAGAGAGGCTCCTGAGGGACTCAGCCCTATAAGCTGAAATATGCGGCTCCTAAGCTAAACTGAACCCGGAATAATGACAAAAACATTACATGGCTGTTGGTGCTGCAGCAGACCCCGAGATCTGGAGTTTTTGGAGCCCGGTAGGGCGAAAAAAGACTTTGGTGTCTGCGGCCTAATCGAGGAAGGAGCGGGGTGGACGGCCGCCATTTTGCTTTCTCCCCCAGCTATCACACACCGGCTCTCTGATGTGGTCCTGTGGTCTCCCGCACTCTGTAGCTAAAATGGCCGCCACCTAAGCTTCCACAAGAACGCCCGCGATGAGCAGCCTACAGGCGGAACCCCTACGAAGGCTGTGAAAGGATTCCTGCCTCCACTCACGGGCTTCACGGTAAAGAAAGCCCTACAGCTGAAAGAGGACTTTTGGCAGCACCCACCCGCATCCCAGCACAGACGCTCCGGCAACCACTCACCCAAGCCAAAATCCTTGAGCAGAACAAACCTCACATTGTCGCCTGACACCTGAGTGGACACACCCGCGGACCCTGATGCCGACTCCAGCTAGAGCTAGATCGGAGAATGCCAGATAAGAGCCTGTGCTGCAACCTGAGACAGGCAGAGCAGAGATGGCTGGGTTTAACATTGGGCTCAGATGCCTTTTCCTATAATGCTTAGCCAAGCCGGTAGAGGGAGGCGGCAGAGGGGTGACCCAGACCAGCTAAACAGTAAATGAGCCCTTCTCATTAACTCCTGCCTCCCTATATTCCATGACAAGTCCCCAGTGGCATGCTAACTACTCTCTTACCTAATCTGTTTACTACTCCTCAATTTAGAACATGCTTAGGCTCCTACAAGTGTTTTTGTATATAATATGCAAGATTGAACCTACAATGCATGACTTACAAGCCTAGTGTAAATTATCTAGCAAGCCTGCTATTCGACGTTTACTCTCAGTTTAAATTTCCTTAACTATTTTCAAACGTACAATACTCTTGACATGTTGTGATTTCCCTCTGAAACACTGCTTGTGCAAACTAACTGACATGTTACTGCTCAACCATAAGCTAATGTAATGCAAACAAACACTCTTCTTATGTTAATCCAACGTATTTCTGAATGTTTAAAAAAACAAAAACAAAAAATGTGCTGTTATCTGAACTGCCATACTAACGTTTATCATACTGTCATAACTACACTTGCCAAAGCTTTTGTGGCAAGGCAAGCGTGTACCATTAACCTGCGCACAACAAAATAAAGAATAATTTTTTTTTTAAAAGATACATAGCTCACATGAGGTGCGACCATGCGGTATGGCGGTGTGGCCTTACCCCCAATAATGTATACTTTTAATTACCCAATATGTGCATTAATATTAATTATTTAGCAGATGTTTGACAAAAAAGATTGTGTTACTTGTGTTTAGATTAGGTGTATGTGAATATAATACCATTTCTGTCTGCAGGAACCCCCACAGAAGAGACATGGCCTGAGATATCTGCTAATAAAGAATTTAAAGCATATTGTTTCCCACAGTACAGACCTCAACCTCTAAAAAACCACACACCAAGGTACGGTACATCAGCACATTAAAGGAACATCCCAAGCACCATAACCATCACAGTAGGTTGTAGTTGTTATGGTGCTAAGAATGTCTTGGCACCACACTGTAACGGTTTGACTTAACTGAAATCATGATCTATGATCCGCACCTTCTTCTACGGCCAACAGAGAGCTGGAAGCTCTTTTGGTGGTGCAGGTGGGGATCAGCTGACGCTGTCAGCCAATGAGTTGTCCCTGCACAGTAGGTGCTTCCAGCTCTCCAAATTACAAACAGGAGGCATGGAGCAGGTCCCAGCGGTCCCCATGTATGAAGTCAAATCGTTCTAAAACTGTTTGGCTCCTTCTCCTTACAATGGGATCGATGGTTTATAGTGTTTTTAATGTTCCTTTAAACATATTCTTTCATAAGATGTGAGCTAGAGAACCATATCTTTTTGCCTCTATATATAACTATATGTAGTTCAATGTATATGCTCACTGTATTTGACTACAATAACAATTTGTACTATGTTAACCCCTTAAAGACAGAGGCAATTGTCTGAACCAAAGTTCTGAACCAAAACCAAACCTGGAATTTGTGATATATGTCTGTTTATATGCCCTTTAGAAATCTCAGGGTCCCCTAAAATAAGAATTGTCTGAGCCCCCTCTCGATACATATTCCTTACAACTCACACATAGATACACACATAAACGTTAAAAAATACACACTCTTCAAGAACAAACACAGCAACACACTGCTGGACACCCATACACGTGTATGGAGGCTGTTTGTGGTGTTGCATGTGTAGGAGTGGCTGTTTGTGGTGTTGTATGTTTGTAGAATGCTGTTTGTGGGGTTGCATGTGTGTGGGTGGCTGCTTGTTTTGTTGATTGTTTATGGTAATGCTTTTGAGGCTGTGTGTCACAGTCACACACTCATGAATGCACATGTAGAGATGGGTTCACACATATACATAAAGGCACAGGAAAGCAGACAAATACAGACGCATTCATATATTCACATGCATATAAAGGCAGATAGACATTCATGGGATGATCCGCCATCCCTGCAGCCTAGCGTGTTCAGCAATGTCTCATGAGTGCCCTGCCATGAACAAGCTTTTTTTTTTTTTTTAAAGTTACAGGGCCAAATACAAGGCTTGCAAATTAAATTCTCTGGAATTTCGGTCTGGGTTGTCGTGCATGTCCCAATATATATATATATATATATATATATATACATATATAACTACACTTGAATGAAATTATATAAATATTTATATAAAATTTTATATATACCGTATATACTCGAGTATAAGTCGACCCGAATATAACTTGAGGCACCTAATTTTACCACAAAAAAACTGGGAAAACCTATTGACTCAATTATAAACCTAAGGTGGGAAATGCAGCAGGTACTGGTAAATTTCAAAAATAAAAATAGATACCAATAAAGTTACATTGATTAAGGCATCAGTGTCGTACTGGGCAAGAACCACCCTGTTTGTTCTCCTCACCTCCCCCCTGTTTGTTCTCCTCACCTCCCCTTCCCTGTAGCGTGGCCGAGCTCTTCTCCGGTCCGCGGTACAGGAGTTTCTGTTTCCTGTACCTGGCCGGACTGATAGGAAGTGCACACTGAGTGTGCACTTCCTATCAGTCCGACCGGGTACAAAAAACAGATGTTCCTGTACCGCGGACTGGAGAGGAGCTCAGCTACGCTACAGGGAAGGGGAGGTGAGGAGAGAGGCAGTTCTGCAGTCACCTGAGGCTCTCTATAGAGTGCTTAGGCGGCTGCAGCATTAACAGGGCTGGCGATGGGGGTGCAGGGCGCCCCCCCTATTTCGCCTTATAGGAAGCGCCGGCCCTACTCACTCGAGTAGAAGCTGAGCGGGGCTTTTTCAGCATAAAATATATATATAATTTATGTATAATTATTTGGTTTTATTAATTATGTGCCTGGCAATTGAGGCAGAGCCATGGTAGCCAATCATGCAATCCAGTGGATCCAAGTCATGTGATTGCGGTGTCATAGTGATCACATGACTCAAATCGGCTCTATTGGCTGCAGAGTGTTGTAAGTATTTAGACTGGAGGGAGGGCCCGATCATTAGGGTGAGTTATGCCGGCCTAACGGTGTCTAAGCCCTCCTTTTGTAGGACGGCATAGCATGTCCTTATTTTGTGAAAAGGCTAATATGTCAAAATCTGTGGCCAAAAATAGTTAAATATGGTATTGATTTACACAGTAGTGGCCTGTATTTAAGATGTAAATAGTTTTTTTTTGTGTGTTTTTTTTTTTAGACTGGACTCAGAAGGTATTGATCTATTGAGCAGCTTACTGCTGGTAAGTGAGCTGAGAAAATGTGTTAAAGGGACACTATAGTCACCTGAACAACTTTAGCTTAATGAAGCAGTTTTGGTGTATAGATCCTGCCCCTGCAGCCCCACTGCTCAATCCTCTGCCATTTAGGAGTTAAATCCCTTTGTTTATGAACCCTAGTCACACCACCCTGCATGTGACTTGCACAGCCTTCCATAAACACTTCCTGTAAAGAGAGCCCTATTTAGTCTTTCTTTATTGCAAGTTCTGTTTAATTAAAGGGACTCTCCAGGCAGAGGATTTTATTCATCTGGTTCCAGCGCCGGGAGCCTCGTGAAGCTGCGCCCCCTATTTCGTCAAAATGACGAAATAGGCGGGCGCGAGCAGGGAGCAATCAGATGCTTCCATATGAAAGCGTCATTGCTCCCTTGTGCGCATTCGCAGCTTCGCCGCACATGTGCACATTCATGCCACCCTCTGAAGTCTTGAGTGTACATTCATGCCGCCCTCTGAAGTCCTGAGCGCACTACTGACAGCTCAGCTCGCGGTCTTTGCCCACCCCCTCTCCTCTGCTGACAGATCCGTCTGATGTGTACAAGGCCTTTTTAGGGCCCTACATGATAGGAAGTCCCTCTGGTGGCCGTCTGAGTGACGGCCACTGGAGGTATTCCTATCAATCAATGTAAACACTGTATTTTCAGAGAAAATACAGTGTTTACATTAGATTGCCTGCAGGGAGCTATAGATCTCACCTGAACAACCTCATTAAGCTGTAGTTGTTCAGGTGACTATAGTGTCCCTTTAAGATTTTCTTATCCCCTGCTATGTTAATAGCTTGCTAGACCCTTCAAGAGCCTCCTGTATGTGATTAAAGTTCAATTTAGAGATTCAGATACAATTATTTAATGTAAATTACATCTGTTTGAAAGTGAAACCAGTTTTTTTTTCATGCAGGCTCTGTCAATCATAGCCAGGGGAGGTGTGGCTAGGGCTGCATAAACAGAAACAAAGCGATTTAACTCCTAAATGACAGTGAATTGAGCAGTGACATTGCAGGGGAATGATCTATACACTAAAACTGCTTTATTTAGCTAAAGTAATTTAGGTGACTATAGTGTTCCTTTAAGATTCTTCAACTCAATGCTTTTCATTTTATTCATCTAAAATGTGGTCAGCTGTGCTAGGGACACAGCTTGCAGCTCTGATATATACAGTCCTTACATTTTGAATATTCATGTTTTAAACTTTATCACATGCTAGAAGCAAGATTGTATGCACATTTATCTTGTTCACTTGTTAAATAAAATAATAGCTCAGCTGGTAAATACCTCCACCATTATATCCCCTTAGCCTTAAGACAGTAATGCTGGTAAATAATACTGATCAAGGAACAGCGCACACAGACATTTTTTTTTTTTTTTATATGTGCGCAGTTCTTCAATCTGTAAAATGTAAGGATTTTGGTCTTTAGCACCATTCCCCAATTCCTTTTTGTCTTTACTAAGTAATACTGGTAAGGTCCACTCACAGGAATCTCAAAACATCACATGCTTGACAATATCAGGGATATATCATATATAAAACAATGTTGCAAAACATTGCTTCATCAGCTACTGATTGCTCTTTCTTAAAGGGACACTCAATTGTTAAAAATACTTTTCTTTTTAACATTAGAGTTATTCTTTATGTGTTAGATTAATGCCCCCCAAGTGTGGCAATTGCTGCACAGCACTAATCCGATGCTTCTCATAGAGATGTCTTCACTTCTGCTGAATACAGTAGGTCACCTACCACCTGTCCTCTTGAAATTTGAGCAGTATTATGTTTTTAAAAGTACCAGTTGTTCTAGAAACCTTAAAATATGTACAAGGGGACATTTAGTTAACACCTAAAGCGGTTCAGGAATTGTTCTAGAAACCTTAAAACATGTACGAGGGGACATTCAGTTAACACCTAAAGCAGTTTATGGAATGTCCCTTTAATCTAATATTTTCCAAAAATAATAGTGTCAATTTATATGAGAAATAATTGAATCATGGTATTTCTTCTCTTTTTACAGTATGAGCACAAGAAGCGGATCTCAGCTGAAGAAGGTTTCAGACACCCTTATTTTAAGAGCCTCGGCGAGAGAGTACTTACCCTACCTGACAGTAAGTCCTTCATGGTATCTGAATAAGTGACATACTAATATTAATTAACGACATATTAATGTATAATTATACATCACTATATCTATTGAAAAGGATTTATCAAGCCAAATCAGGCTCTATTCTGGGGTCTAAATGTTGAGAAACGTTCTGTTGGTTTTGCCCCACGTGTTTTATCCTTGATATATCTCCCATACTATGACGATTAGATACACTTGTTTGTTTACTGTATCTTAATATGATTGCTAAACCTGTGCGTATATGTAAACTTTGTATTCATTGTGTTTCATTTGTTCCACTCCTCCTCTTTTAAAGCCTATAATCTATATTCCAATTAATTTAATTTAAGACGAGAGATTTAACAGTGACTTTTTAGAGTGGGATTTCCAAAACATGATAATTTTAAAGTAATTGGACAAGGACTAAGTGGGTTAAACGAGCTGGTTGAAGCACAGATGTGTATCTTTTCATAGTTACATTAATTATAGACTATTGCACGTCAGTTAGATGGTTAGTAACTCATGTGGGTTTGCACCAAACTAGAATTGACAAGGGAAGTTTATTAAAAAATAGCAGTTAGGTTAATTAATCGAAAACCTTTCCACTTCAGACACTTTGGTCTTAAGTTTGCATTTCTGGTTCTATGAATAAACCCTCCGGGTATTATCTGTTAAAATGTGTATTATTACTGTTGTAGCACAGCCATTTTTCACACTGTTGATGGCTTACTTGTTTACCTGACAGCTGACTGTCACAATACATATAACTGATTTGCAACTATTCTATCTCATGTGTCTAAAATTCCTCATTTTAATACCATTGTAAGACCTAGAACATTCTCTAATTGTTTTACAGCTACCTCAATCTTCACTCTTAAAGAAATTCAGCTTCAGAAGGACCCAGGTCATCGTGGATCGATTTTCCACCACACAGGTACCACCTAAAAACCCATATCTGATTAAAATGATACACAGAGGGGCTTGATCTTGTGGGTGATGGATAGAAGATATCATAAATGATCAGGATACAATATACATTATATAAACAAAAGTATTAGGACACATAAAGTCACAGAGTGGGATCACCGAGTGCTAAGGTGCATGGTGCAGTGCTACGGAATTGCTGGCACTATATAAACAATAAAATAATAATAATGGTGCCAACGCTCTGCTGATTCCATAGCTGAAGAGTCCCTAACTTCGACAGGCATTAATATCAGAAGAAAAACTGTGTTCACCAAGTAAAATGTCAAGCATTGTGTAATGTAACTAGGCCCTTTATTTCCTGTGAAGGAAAACCTTAGTGCTACTGCATACCAAGACTTTTTGGACAATGCTATGTTTCCAATTTTGTGGGAACAGTTTGAGGAAGGCCCTTTTCTATTCCAGTATGACTGTGCCCCAGTGCACAAAGCGACGTCCATAAAGATACAATTGGATGAGTTTAGTGTGGAAGAACTTGACCGGCCCGCACAGAGCCCTGGCCTCAACCCCATCGATCACCTTTGGGATAAACTGGACTGAGATTGTGAGCCAGGCCTTCTCGTCCAACATCAGTGCCTGACTTCACAAATGCTCTACTGGTTAAATGGGCAAAAATGGAAACAGAAACACTCCAAAATCTTGTGGAAAGCCTTCCCAGAAGGGTGGAAGCTGTTATGGCTGCAAAGGGAGCATCATCTACATGTTAATGTCTATGTATCTAGAATACAATGTCATAAACATCCCTGTTGGTGTAATGGTCAGGTGTCCCAATATATTTGTCCATATAGTGTATTTTATTCCTATAGAGAAGAGTGCAGCCATATTAATCTGTTTCTCGGTTAGTAAGGCAGAGATACTGATATCTATTTAAAGGGAAGAGCCTACTAATTTTTCCTACAAGAAAGCCTTCAACATACAGTATAACCTGAAAGATCTAGAAGCTGTAAGAATAGGTCACTACTCCTACACCTTACTAGGTCTGCCTGTGTTGTATTTTGAAGTTCTTCACATACTGGGAGTACTACATATAGATAGGTTTACTACGCACAAACAATCAGTGATATATACAGTTTATTTACATAATGAAATGATCTCTTCTCTCCACAGCCCGTGGGAAGACCAGAAGACAGAGTATATTTTAAAGCAAAACAGAATTGTGACTCAAGATAACTTTTACTTCTCTGCTACTGAGATGCCTGCACTTTGAGTATTAACTTTAATTGAATTAAGCTGCAGAGGACCTAGTGCCAAATGTACTGTTTTTTGTAGGGACCAATGTAAGGTGCAGGGACCAGAGGAAAGTAAAACTCAATATATCGCTATTCACACCCCACAAATGCCTTATTAACATTTCCATACAAGAAGGGTAGACTAAGCTAAATGTCACCATTGCCCTAAGTGCACCTGTCTTTTCCTTTTAATCGGAGGTAGAATCCATAGCAATGAATTATACAAAGCTATATCCTGTATCGCACTTCCTATCAAAGTGGCTCACAGAACCCAACTTTAATTTAGATTTTTAACATCCAATTTTGGACCCAAACCCATAAAACAAACTGTTTTACCTCAAAGAAAAACGGTGTTATGTAGAGCACATATTTATAGATCTCTCTTGTTTTTGGGGTACGTTTACATAATTCAGAGGTAAAATTTCTATATCACTCACAGCCATCTTAGTTTTTCTTTACAACATGTTTCTTTACCTTTACTAACTGTTAAATCATTATTATATATTTTGGGGATACATAGCTCCTTAGGATGAATGCTATCAAGCTGTGGAGGTCAGGAGCTGTAATAAGAGTAGCATATGAGTTACAGTGGCTATGGTGCTGTGGTGCTCCCTCATTATAAGGAGTCAAATTGTGTTAGAAGCCGCCCCCCACCTCCCTTTACAGTTCAGTGAAAACCAGAAGCTCCTATTCAGCGCTCCTCAAACTTGACAAAAATATGCAGAGTATGTTCATCCAATCGGAAATAACCTTTATACTGAACTTAAATAATATTGACTGCAAACTGGTTTTCCTTTTAAAGAATTATGTTCAAATACATAATTTTGTTCCAACTACCTGTGCATACGGAGATCATCACCATTGTCGCACTCCTTGTTAGTGTAGGCTGAGGTTCTGTACTGCTAGTCTAAAACTTGTGTATAAAAAACAAATACAATTCATAAGAGGCACATCCTATCACATAGATGCAAGGGTATAAGAATATTTATGGGCTATATAAGTGACTCATTCATTTAGTTTGATGTGCCCCCAAACTCTTGTGAACTGGATATTATTTATTATGATGTTATTAATTCAAAGCTTAATTATGATCCTTGTTATCCAGGAGGCTTTAGTAAGTCCAGTTGTATGGAAATGTGCATTAAAGTGTATTATAATTTACACATATAAACAAGCAATCATAGGACTCCTTTACAAAATAGGTTTGCCATTGTACATGATGTCCTGTGGCTTCTTCTGCAAACACACTTCCTTAACTACATTGTACCCTCCTCTCCCCTAAGGGTCCTGCACTTTATAGTAGCACTTCCTGAGTATATCTTAGAAGTCTCCTACTGCTGCTCTCCTGTCTTAGAAGAAAGAGTGAGTGTGCCATGTGATGAATTGCTAGTTTTGCATTAATCTGATGTGATCTAATAAAAAAAAAAAAAACTGTAAAAGTGAAAGAGTGAAATATAAACTTATAATGTGAGTCTCCTGATCTCTAAGTATAGAAGTGTGGGGACTACAGGAAGACCTCCAGAACTCCACTCCCCCAAACCCTATTCTGTGCCTGAGAATTAGCAGCGCTGCCTGATTGTGATTATTAATGGTTTGTATCATAACAAAGCAGCAAAGTATAATTGTGAAATGTGTTTGTATGCGTGTATGAATATATATATATATATATATATAAATCTATATAGCTATATATTATACACAGTTGTGTGCTAAACGCTATTAAAAAAAAACTGTTTGACTTTCCGAATGAACACTATAGAAAGATGTAATATATTTATATATACATATTTAAAGTTTTATTCTTAAAGATTTATTAATTTAAAAAAAAAGAAACTTCAGGATTCCAAAGTGAAAACTATGACTTAGATTTATTGAGCAGTATACAGAAATACATGTCTTGTGCTGCAAACCCTATGTGAGAATGAACAGGTGATTTATTTAACGTCTGTAATAATTCTGTACTTGATAATATGACTCTAGAAAATAATATGTTTGCAGGAGTTTTTTTTTTTTTGTTTCCCTGCCGTGTATAAATCTAAGCTTTTGTTTTCAAGAGAAATGCTTTTACTGAAACGATATGACAGAGATTGTACTCCAAAAACTCCACACAGAATGTTTTCTACTGATATTTAGATTTTTTTTTTTTGTATTTGACATTCTGTGATGACCTCTATTGACATTGCATAAAAATTATTTGTGAACTGTGAATGTTACAGAATAAAATTGAAATAAAACATTATTTGCAGAATGTGCATGGATTGCAAACAAAAAAAAAATTGCTTTTCATTCTCTTAATCATAAAAGCGAATTGCAACTGATTGTTGGAAGACATACTTTTTCCTGTGTATTTGCAGTGACAGGCTTATTTTACATCTGAAGTATTTGAAAAATGTTTATACAAGATTTATATACTTATTAAAGAATACTAATCTCAAGAGGTATACACTACACAGTGGTAAACCAGGTTTAATTTTTCTGTTTAGTAGTACCTCACAGACCTTATCTTGGCCATCAATGTATTTCCAGCCGAATTAGAAGCAGCACATCTGTGAATAAGCGTGTAGTCTCCAGAGCTGGGTTGAGGTTGCCCAGGGTCCTAGGCAGGATGCCAGACTGGTCCCCAACTAGTACCCTGGGTACTCTTTTGAGAGAGTTGTGTGTATGTGGGGGTGGAGTGGAGTGAGAGATGTATATTGGGGAGGCTGAGTGTGTTCATGTGTAGTGGTTGAGTGTTGTGTGATGGCTGTATATTGTGTGTGGAGCAGTCTTGGTGTTGTGTGTGTGTGAGTGTGTTTTTATGAGAGTCTTGAGTGTAAGGTCTGTGTATTGACTGACTGTGTGTGGGGAAGTTGTCCTACCCCTGCTTACCTTGTAGCTGTAGGGGGTGTAATCAATTGTGGTCCAGTGAATGCACACTTAGTAGCTGTATTCCTGGTGGGAGTGCATTGTAGTCTGCACTTTTATAAGATGCACTTTAAGAGGTTTGTTCCTCACAGTTCCAACGCTCAGTCAATAACTTGTCATGCTTGCTGAGGTGCTCTGAGTCATTGAGAAGTGTTTTGGGAATGCGAGGAAGCTTTTAAAGTGACCTGCACCTAATAGAGGTGCAAACCACAATGAATATTCCAGCATTTGAGGGGATGCAGAGCCACGTAGGAAGATCTCCTTTTTGTCTCAATGAGGGCCCCCTTTTAACCATGGCAGAAGCTCCAGACCATACAGGGACCCAGTGGGTAAGGGATAATGAAAGACCTTTAGAGATCTTCAATGGATGCTGAATATTGTAGTTTCATTATATTTATCAAACATATAGTGTTTTCAAGATTACTATAATATATTATAAGCATATAATACTCTGAAAATAAAGCTAGCCAAAGCTTCTGTTTTGGTCATGGAGCAATTAATCTGCATATGCAGTTATTCTCGATGACTATGCCTATATAGAGATATCTTCACTTTTGTGCTGAAGTCTAGTTCCCCCTCAACCTGGCACTCATGACTTAGATAGGCCGGAACTCTGTTCTGGACTGCCTAATATTAGTTATGTGCAAAACCTACATCTGTTGTGCTGGTGACAGACATAATGAAATTCCTCACTTGCAGGCATGCTCACAGTGAAGCTGTGTTTTGGACCGCTGCATCCTGCTGGCCTGCAAACAGTCTCACGATATCCCTGAATATTAAAATACTCCCTCCCCAGTGACAGCCCTCTATCTGATCATAGCTCTTTGATTACTCCTCCTCCCCTCCCTGATGTTGTGGGGTTGAGAAAAAAAAAAGAGTTGTCCCTCCTTAATTTAGTCTATGGAGCTGCCAGCAGCCGGACTGCTTGAGCTGTCAGGCAGTCCCCCAGGCACCTAAAAGTGTAAAAAAAAAAAGCATTTTATAATATATTATACATATATATGATTTCATTATAAATGTACTTTGAGATATATACACATATATCTCAAAATACACTTATAATGTAGTCATATATACATTATATATGTATAATATATTGTAAAATGCTTTAATTATTTTATAATATATTATACAAATACAGGAAATAAAAGTGTGTGTGTTGTGTATATATATATATTTCAGAACAGAATTCAAACCACGATTACCACCGGAGTTCAGATGGGCTTTATTGACACAAACATGGCTAAATATTTATATGTTGAATATCCGAAACATCCAGTTCTATATACATTACCCAAAATTCACAAAGATCCGTTAAATCCACCAGGAAGACCGATCGTCTCGGCTCGAGACAGTTTACTTGAGCCCCTTGGCAAATACATTGATTATTATATTAAAACCTCCGTCATGGATCTTCCAACTTGTCTACGAGACACCAGTGATTTTTTTGGAGAATATTAAGAAGCTAACCTCAGTGGAAACACAACATCTTTTGGTCACCTTAGATGTTAAAAATCTATACACAATCATACCACATATAGAGGGTATACAAGCATTGCGACAGATCCTTTGCAACTCATCTAAATATAATGGTCCACCCATTGAATTTCTCATGGAACTTATACAAATAGCATTGACATGCAATTATTTTAAGTTCGAAGATCTTTTTTATTTACAACTGATGGGTACATCAATGGGTGCAGCAATGGCACCTTCATATGCTAATGCATTTATGTTCCTCTTTGAGACTAAACACATCCTCGAGAAACATTGTGAACAAATTCTTACTTACCATCGTTTTGTGGATGATATTTTTCTAATTTGGACAGGAACTTCTTACAGTTTGGAACAAATGATCAATGAGATAAACTCCTCGGCGCTTCCCGTTAAACTTACACTCACCTTTGATTTTCAGATAATTCAATTTTTAGATGTGTCCATCTATAAAGACGGAGAAAAGGGCACGTTGGGATATACTCTATATCGCAAAGACACTGCAAGAAATACATTACTCCAGTTCAATAGCTATCATCCACAAAAATTAAAGGAATCACTTCCTGTATCCCAATACATGCGTGTATTGAGATACAACAGCGATCCCGTCAATCAAGCAAATCAATTACAAGAAATGACTGACAGATTTCTTGCTAGAGGATATAGTCCTGAGGTTTTGGAGAAAGCAAAGACTAAAGCTTTGGAACATATGGTTAGTGACCTTCCTGAGGCCACACGCAATATACCACCAATCGTTAAAATGTACCTACCTTTAACTCTTCACACTGGTACCTCACAAATTCAACGGGCTATAAATAAATATTGGGGTATTTTAGGTTCAGATAAAAATCTACCATCAATATTTTGTCAAAAACCCAACATTAGTCGGAAACGAAATAGGAATCTTAGAGACTTACTCGTGATCCCACTTTATGCTATCGAAAAACCACAGGACCCAGTAAGAAAGTGCAGTGGGTGTGTAACTTGCAGCCATATGAATACAGGTACTTCATTTGTCCACCCACATAGTGGAACTCGGATTTTAATTACTCAGTATATTACTTGCATCACCGATCATGTGATATACTTAATTACTTGTCCTTGCGGTCTTTCATATGTGGGAAAAACCGACCTGATTCTCTGTGAACGCATTCGTGGCCACAGATCAACTATTACCACTGCATTCAGAGACCAAAAATCTGACATCCCAGTTGCCAAACATTTTCTCCAAGCAAACCATAGACTTCCCACACTCAGATTCATAGCTATTGACCATGTTCCACTCAGCCCCAGAGGAGGAGATAGATCTAAATTGTTACTGCTACGCGAAACTTATTGGATACACTGTTTAGACACTGTTACCCCGAAAGGACTAAATGAATATATTTCATTTTCTATGTTTATTTGATTAATTAATTTAATCTTGTACAATATATCAAATCCTGAACTTTAGATATTGAGTATGCCATATGTATTAAGAGCTACTATTTAGTAAGGATATATAATAGTATACTTTGCACATTTATTTTTCATCTATAGATATTAGTAGTATCATTTCATATCTTTCACCTTATGAGATCTATGCCGACTAGATTATTTCACTTAGAATGTGTAACACTAATTTTTCTCTACACTGCACTTTTTTTCTCTGCACTGCACTTTTTATTGCACTTTATTAGGCATTCCGTCTCATAGGTGTATCATTTTTACTATTTTTACTATGAATAACATGCAAATCTTCCGATCGAGTATTTCTTTGTTTTTAACATTCACTTTTTGATCTCTAGATTGAGATCTCTTAACACTCAGTTTTTATATTCACAATAGTTGCATGTTTCATGCACAGATCACGATAGACGTATCTTTTAGAGTTTACACTCTATCACCTAGCAACCACGTTACACGTAATGACGCACGTTGAAGGAACCACGTGAGATGCCGGGACACTTCCGGGTTCGGGTAGCCGCACACACGAGATTGGTGAGTTACTTTCTCTGCACATATATTTAAACTGTATTCATTCCACTTATTGTTTGATCTTGAAAAAGACCCTGAGGGGTCGAAACGTCGATTTGATGTTCTACACTTTGATGTAAACTTTTTACCACAATAAATATCGATAAAGAAGTCCTTTTGAGTGCTCCTATTTATCTTTGGTTATAACTTGGACGCTGGAAGCACCAAAGGCAAGATTCATACGAGTCATCTTAAGGGTGAGTGCCTAAATCAGATTTTTTGTTATATATATATATATATACACACACACACACATAATATATATATATATATATATATATATATATATATATATATATATATATATATATATATATATATATACACACACACACACATAATATATATATATATATATATATATATATATTTCCAGGCTAATCATGGCAGCATATACACATGGATTAGCTCCTCCCCTTACAGCCAATAGGACAGGATTTAAACAAATTCTTATAAAGGAGGATCCAGAGATGAGTCCCTCAGTCTTTTTCCTGTCTTTACAGCATTTAGGAAGGAAGCTCCTTAGCTCCCTTTAGAGATTAAGTACACTGTATACTTTGAATTACTTGAATTACTTTCTAGGTCTCCTATACCGTTTTGCATTTATACCAGGACCTGTCCTGGGGTACCTGAGACCTAAAGGGGACGTCCTGGCTTGGATCAGGGTGTCCTTCACTCCGTCCTCTATCCTCCCAGCTTGGATTACCCTGATCGCGGAGAGGACGCTAGCACATGCGCAATTCGCTCAGATCGCTTTTTGGCGCCAAAATGCAATTTGGGTAATGTCGCGAGGTTGCGGCGGCCATCTTTACTATGGGCAAAACCAAAAATGGCAGGTAAATGGCCAAAAACGCCAGGAATAGGCTTAGTGTTCAGCAGGTACTATTTACAGGATGCCCTTGAAAAAGGCGGTTTACCCGCCGAAACGCGCGTTGGGCAATATTTGATGCGGACATTTGTGTTATACTATATTAATACACACTTGTATGTACGTTAGCTGTACCCATATTTACATATGACCG